AACTTCATTGTCTCTGACACATCTAATCCACAACCTCAGTCACTGAGTCATTCCATTTTACGGAGTGTCTTCCTCTCTTGTGCTGTCCCTCCACCCTCCCGAGCAGGACGCCCCTCTCCATGGACTGGTCCCTCCTGGAAACATGTCCAAAATATGTCAGACGGAGCCTCAGGATCCTTGCCTCCAAGGTTTTACCCTCTCTAGGATTAATCTGTCTATTCTCCTAGCAGTCCATTGTTGTTGTTGTTGTTGTTAATTGCCATCGAGTTGTAGGTGACTCAGTGACCCTATGAACGAAAGTCCTCGATACTTGCATGACTTTCATCCTTTCTCCAGGTTCATAGGGTTTCTGGAGGCAAGATATTTACGGAAGTGGATGCCACTCCTGCTTCCAAGCTTGTTTTAATTGGGGAGCTCCACCAAACACTGTCCACCATGGGTAACCATTATGTCATTTGACACATCAGTGTCACTGTGTTCAGCTTCACAGCAACCACAAGTTCCCTCTGTACGGCAAGTGGACACACCAGGGCTATATGACCTAGAAGAATGTTTGACCAAAAACAATGAAAAACAGGCCTGAGGGTCACAGATTAAAGTCACCCACCTTTGGCTTGGTAGCATCACTTTCGTAGTATATTCAATACTCTTCTCCAGGACCACAGCTCAAAGGCATCAATTCTCCTTCTATCATCCCTAGTCATCGTCCAGCTTTCTGACGCATAGCAAGTATGATGAACAATTTAACTTCTCACAAGACTACTCCTGCCTCCCATTGAAGTCTCAGAGAATGGCCAAGGAAGGGCCCACTCAATGCATTGACACTTCTAGACCAGCACATCTCCATAGCGTAGCTGCTACCCATAAGCGGCCATTGAACAATTGGAGTGAGTTTAGTTCAAACTGAAATGTGCTATAGGTATGAAATCTTCATTGGATTTTGTAAACTTGATAAAAAATATATACATTTAAGTATCTCTTGAGTAGTATTTTATGTTCATTATTTTTCTAGAATAACAGTATTTTGTATCAACTCACTCAACCCACTTCCATTAAGGCCAGTGTTACTCAGAGGGACCTGCCGTCGGGTTGCCCAGGCTGTATATGTTTATGGTGTGAAGACCATCCATCTTCCTCCCTCAGAGATGATAATAGGTTCAAACTGTCGACCTTTCTGTTAACAGCCCACACATTCTACCCTATACTACCGAGGTTCCTGATAATTTTGTACATGTTTGGATTAAATGAAATTATTTTAAAAGTTTTCTATTTTATTTTTTAATGTGACCATTTTAGAAAACCCGCAATAATAATAACAACCACAACAAAGCCCCCTACATATAAAATTACACAAGCAACTTGTATTATATTTCTATTCTACCTCTAACCACTGGTTTTTGGAGGACCCTTCCCGGCTGAGGAGGGAGGAGCCCTCAGTCCATCTTGAGAACAGCTCTGGGTCTGAGCGGGGAGGGCAAACTGCTAAATCTCACACTTTACACTCTACCCCTGGCTCCTCTGCATCTCCCTGTGCGTTCATTCATGGATTCCCAAATGCAGCCTTGTCCCAGCAAAGAATTGAACTATGAAACAGTGCAATTATGATAGCCGGGGGTTGGGGGTGGGGTGGAGATAAAGGCACACAGAGGCAAAATGTGGGCTCTGTAAGCCAAACATGGACTTCTGGGGCCATTTGGTTCCTGGTTTGACCCTCTAGCCTCAGGCTGTCTGCCCACTAAAGCGGACCCATCATGAATCAGGGTCTACAGAAGGCAGGCTGAGTGGGCGAGTGTCTGGGAGTCTGCCATTTGCATTCTACAGCCTTCAAAAGTCTAATGGAGTTCCGGCAGGCCCTGTGAGAGCAGGCCTGTATGGCTCACGCCCACTACAGGGAGGCCTGGATGGATTTATCCAGAAGGACCCCAATCACCTGTACTCCCGCTCCATGCCCAGGCGAATTCCCAGTCATCCCTCAGGACTCATCTAGACATCAGTCTTTTTCTGAACTCTCCCTTGTCCTTGCCCCAGCTCGGGACATGCAATTGCTCCTCGTCTGCACTCCCACCAGCTCCCTGCGCTTCACATGCTCCAGTCCTTACTCTGCTGCATTCACTTTCCCTTGTCTATAGTCTGAATCTGCCCACCTCTCACCCCCAGCAAGCTACAGACTAGTTTCCAATTGTTCCCTCAGTGCAGCAACAGAAAGGGCTCAGTGAATGGCTCTCCCTAAGAGCCCTTCAGACGGCGACTGGGCGGTGAGGGGTGAGTAGGCTTCCTCCTCCCTCAAGAGGAGACCAGACGTGACCAGACAATGAAGGTGGGGCGGCAGGAGGAGTGGCTCAGCTCAGCTCAGACTCGGTGCACCTGACCAGGAATTCTCGGAGGTTCCCTGCGGAGGGCAGACCACAGCCAGTCCCTCATGGCCTTGAAGCTCCGTCCTAAGGCCCCTCATGGACTCCTAAACTATGGATTGCCTGGGAAAGAAGAGATTCCTTGACTCTGGGGTCTTTCATCACCCAAAAACCTGCTTTTAAATGCGGATTGAGATTCTAGACAAAGCTGGAGTGCAACTGGGGAAGAGTACGCAGAGGTCAGGAGAAATCTGCCCCCACTGCCACCCTCAACTGAGCTGGTCATGACGGACAATCAGCCATCTGGAGGGGCTTTCATTTCAGCCTTTGGATCTCACAGCACAGTCATTCTTTTCATAGGCTTCAGCCATCACAGGCATCGTTTATATGCTGGGTCATGTATAGCTACAGCAGCTAGGTGGCACAAACGGTTAAGTACTCAACTTTTTGTCAAAAGGTTGATAGTTTGAATCTACCAAGAGGTGACTTGGAAAACAGGCCTAGTAATTTGCAGGTCACAGTCTTAAAACCCTAATGTTTCTATGTGCTACTGAGTCAAGTATGACTCATCGTGGTCCTATGAACAACAGATCTGTGCCGTCCACATCATGTCTGACACACTGGAGCCCATTGTTGCTGTCACTGTGTCAATCCATCATTTGAGGGCCTGCCGAGCAGCTCTTCTACACAGGGTCAGCGTGAGTCAGAATCAACTCAATGGCACCTAACAACAAAGTGTACTGATGTTGAGAAAACCTGGAGCCAAGGGTAATCTTAAAAGGGAAACTCAGGCTTCTCTCTATAATTCCCACTTCACTTACTTCTAAAGAAATGCTAACTTGATGTGGCTATTTGCCACATGTCCTTCAATGTCATTTCAAAAGGCCCTGTCTCGGAGAGTCACCCCTGGCCAGCCTCCTCTCCTTATACTCTCACATACTCCCAAAACATCCCTGTTCTCACTCCAACTGGGCCCCTCTTCCTCTGTATAGGATCTGCTTGTTCATTTCTCTCAAGACAGAATTATCTGAGGGCAGAGACTATGTCTACCCTGTCAGCATTATGGCCATGGGCCCAGCACTAGCGGGCACAGGTATTGAAAAGATGAAGTAGACCACAGAACTGGCTGGTTTCAGAGTCAGAGCAGACCTCAAGACCCCCAAGACTTACTCCTATTCTTGCTCACATGTTGCCTAGATTCCCTCCTTGAGAGCCCTAAAGACTCCCGTTAGCTGGGCCAGAACTGCACACAGATATTGGACAGGAAAGTAAACAGTACTTCAGGAGAATTGTCTGTTGGGTCTCATTCTACTTTCTGCAGAGAAAAGAGGAAGCCTTATTTAAAAAATAAAAAAAGAAGGCTGGTAGAGGGAAGAGTTAAAGTAGCTAAGGTCTCCTGTAGCCCTCTAGCAGGTGATGGGGGTTCTGCCCCTGCACTCTGTGGGTGGATCCTCTCCAGATACAAAGAAGACAAAGGGCCAAGCCATCATTCCTAACTCACCCCAGAAAGGAGAGTAGAAGCAGGAGAGTGGGTAGACACTGAATGCAAAATTAAGCCACTGAGGAGCTAGTCTTTTGACTGTCAACATGCTGGTAACACCATCTTCCTACAGATTGAAGAAGAGATTCCTCCAGCACATCCGGGATCTAGTCAGAGTTCCCCAACTGCAGGACTGAACATCCTCCGGGAAGGGGATCAAGAACTATTGTCCTCCTTCCATTCATCTCCCAGCCCCCAGACCAAGGTCTGAATAGAGCTCTGCAACTCTGCCCAACCGTAGGGCCTTGGATAGGGGAAAAAAGTTGACCTCAAAGTATTTATTATTAAGAGGACTCAAGGGGAAATATTTTTTACTTATGTTACTCATATTACCTTTTACGCCTAAATGTGTACTCTGAATGGGGTTTCTACCTCTCTTGCTTCAAGCCTCAAAAACCAAGCCAAACTGGATAGATTACTGAACACTAGGCAATACAGAGTAGAAACAAAACCATGGATTAGCTATTTACAGACTTACAGAGCCAATAAAGAAATAAACAAGTAGATAGTCCCGCCCACTGACAAGAAGTCGATTCTGACTTATAGCGACCCTATATGACAGAGCAGAACCGCCTGCATAGGATTTCCAAGACCAGGTATCTTGATGTAAACAGAATGGATTTTCCGCAGAACAGCTAGTTGGGTTCCATCACCCCATCTTTCTGTTAGCATCTAAACGCTTAAACCAAAACACTACTAGGGTTCTTCAAAGCCATTCTAATCTGTTACAATAGTAATAGCTTTTGTGGCCCCGTATTATCCCGCCAAATTAACTCCTCTCCGATTCCTTTCTCCCCTTTTCTCGTCACTCGAAGAAACCCTGGCACCCCCTTCTGGGCGGGGCTCTATTGACACCTTTCCCAGTCTTGCCTAGGAGGGAGGAGGGGTCGAGATTTGCGTCAGCCAATGCGGGAGGCTCAGGTTACACTGAATTGGAGAGTAAGCCAATGAACGGCGAGGGCGTGGCCAACTACTCTGTTTCTAAGCGTCTATAAGAACTTGGAATGCAGCGCTTCGCTGCGCGCGCTGGTGCGACTGTAAGTTCTCGGCCCGAACACGACACATGCCCCTGGAGCTCTAGCTTTGGCCGCTCAGTCTATCCGCCCTCTGCCCCCACTCACCTCCTGCCCGCCATGGAGTCCTTGGCTTTCCCTCGGCGTTCCGGCCCGACTGCCTTGGCAGCAGAGCTCTCCAGGCCCCTCCCTGAAGGGCTCATGAAATCGCCCAAACCTCTCACGAAGAAACAAGCTGTAAAGAGGCACCACCATAAGCACAACCTGCGGCACCGCTACGAGTTCCTGGAGACCCTGGGCAAGGGTACCTACGGGAAAGTGAAGAAGGCGCGGGAGAGCTCTGGGCGCTTGGTGAGTGCGACCTCCTCTCACTGCACCCGGCGGGCTTGGGACTCGGCTGACGGCGGGAAGTGGCAGAGCAAAGCTTGGGGGCTCCGGCATCGCTCGGTGGAGTTGCCAGCAATCAGTCTGAGCGGTGGGAGGAGGTGTGAGAGTGAGGGGTCCGCTGCAGATGTGTGGGACCCGGGAGGAAAGAGGTCTTGGACTGGAGAAACCCAGCACATACACCAGGTAGGGTGTAAGAATGGCCAAGCCCGTGAGGGAGACAGAATCGTTGGCCCGGCTTGGGATGGGGATGGCTCCCTGGAGAAGATGAGACTTTAGTACAATTTTGCTTGCAACAGATTGTCCAATAATTGTCCAATAAAGTGAAAAGGGAAGAGGAAGTAGATGGTGCCTGGCTTTATTAAAGGTTTAATGAACATGTGCAGTTCTAATAGCATGTTAGGGATGGATGTGGGGTGGGGTTGAACTTTGCAGACTGAACTTCAGGTTGAAGTTTTCAGATTGAGTGGCAGTTTCATTATGATGTAGTTTTGATTCTGTTAAGTGTGAAGCCGATTTCTTGTACACGATCCACTATGCTCCAAGTTACCCTTGGGTTTTGAGGTGTTTTCAAAATTTCTGTTAATGTGTGCGTGTGAGAAACAGAGAGAGAGAGGAGAGAGACAGAGGGGTAAGGAATCTCTGGTGGCCCAGGGGTAAGAAGCTATGCTGCCAACTCAGACATGTAGTTCAAATCCATCAGTAGCTCCATGGGAGAAAGATGGACATTCCCTTCTTGTGGGATTTGCTGCCTCTGAAAACTCCCTGGAGGGTTGGCAGTCATTTCGTTCTGATTGGATGACACACAATAAAAACATAGATACATATATGTATAATATATATACACACACATAATATATATTAATATATACATAATACATATGCAGCTATATAATGTTGTTTACCACAGAGTCGGAACCGACCCATAGCTGACCCTCCTCAGGCTTTCAGAGGAAATTAATCACATTAGAGGAGATTATCCATCTTCTGTGGAGCAGCTAGTGGCTTCGAACTGAGTGCCTTTGGGATTGCAGCACAGCTTCTTGCCACATATTAGTGACTCTGGGCAATTCATGTCATCACATAATTCTCTGTTTCCCTTTTTTCAAGAATGGGGAAACAGCCTCCCTCACAAGCTGCTATGATAATGTAATGTTACATAAATATGAACTAAAGGGTCCCTGACAACATACAATCTGTGAACAACAGATAGTTAAATCTCAATCTGTAAAGGGTATCCCCAAAAGGATTGTTAACCATGGTTCTCAAGCTTGAGTTTAAAATACACAGGAATCACCTAGGGGTGCTGGTCTGAAATGTTTACTCTGGTCTCATTCAAAGAGCCCTGGTGGCATAGTGGTTGTAGCATTGCCCCATCCCAAAGTTCAGAAGTTGGAATCACTGCTAGCCTTTCCACAGGGGATAGATGGAAGCAGTCTGCAGCTTTAAAGATCTGCAGCCTGGAGAACCCCATGGGGCACTTCCCCTCTGTCCTCCAGGGTTGTTAAGAGTCCTAATTGACTGTATGGCAGTGGGTTTGCTTATTTTGGTTGAGTGCCACCACACTCAGAGGATCTTGTTCTGAAGGCCTAGGTTCCAGCTATGTGATCTGCATTTTAACAAGACTTTAGGGCAGGTGGCTTGGAGGTTATAGTGTGCCAAGCCCAGTGGGTGCTGGCTGTGTGCTGTGTGTGTGGCCAGGCTTTGCCCTATTGGCCATGGCAGCCTTCACCTCCCCAGATTGTATTTGCTTTTGCAGCCAGTAGCTGGTTTGAAATTCAAGAAGTCATTTCATTGGTGAAGGAGAGTGGATGCTGGAGAGAGGGAGCAGATTGTGCCCCCTCAATAGGTCCAAGTATGTTTTTCCTGCTAACGCCTGGCACAATCCCCAGCTGCCCGCTGCCAGGTTACAGCTATTGGGCAATCATGTACTTCCTGGCTTTCCTTTTCTCTTTCTATAAAGTGCAAGGGCTCAGCGAGGCTCCAGGCTTGAGACTGCTGGGCGCAGGCTTTTTGTCAGGGACTTAGCAGGAAAATAGCTCCTCGTGCCTCATGCTTCTTTCCTCTTGTTGGGGGGACAACTGGGCCATGGCGGACTGGGATGACCAAGAAGCTGGGATTGAAGTTCAGAGACCCCTAAATTAGGCTTTGGCCTGAGTTGTTTGTTGTGTGCAGGTGTGTGTGTGTGTGTGTGTGTGTGTGTGTGTGTGTGTGTGTGTGTGTGAAGCTATCTCATTTAATTCCAGAATGAGATAAACCAGCTTTCAGTGTTTAAATCTCAGTGACTCTATACCAGGATTCCAGCTGTTATTCCATCAGAAAAGAATTAGAATTCTGAAGATGACTCCCTGGATTCATGGCTCTGAACCTTTCCTGACCATGTCTATCACCTGGTAGGAATTTAGACAATCTTCCTTCTCTTGGGACAGCAGCTGCCCTGTGGTGCTAAAGGCTTCTCAAGGCCCTCATCTCTCCGCCCCTCGCTGCCTTTTGCCCCTCTCTGATGAGCAGGAGACCTGGTCTCTCAGGATACTTCAAGAGTGTGAGAGTACGTTCCCAGGAGCCACTCAGGGCCTCTCTCAACATGAAAGTGAGCTGAGGTTGTTGATGGAGGTTAGATTCAGAGGAAAGCCAGCTAGGTGTCTGACTTCTACCCCAGTTTTCTCTCCACTTTCCTAGCTCTCTTCCCATTCCCAACCTTCCTAGAGGGGATTATTAAAGGCCAGATGGGATGTTAGGAGCCATATGGGAGGGCGGGCCAGGCAGGTGGGTGGGACTAATGACTGCTCCAGGAGAGCATCAAAGGAAAAACAAATATTTGCTCTGGATCTTCTGGTCTCCTGTGTACATTCCTGACATCCAAATGACATTTCCTCCTGTGCCTCTCATCAACTTCTCTGACCTGCCTTTTCCCTGAAGAGGAAAAAAAACGTGCTGGGGGCCTTGGAGTGGTGGCGACCCCAAGTCCTTGCATGGGATTCTCACCTTCCAAGGGGTGCTTTGAGGGGTGGCCATGTAGATAGTACAGTGAGGCGAGAGTTCTTATCTGTTCCATAGTAGATTGCTGCATGGATTTAAAATATTTGGAAATGACTGAGATAGTCCCATCCTTACACTGGATGTGGGGACACTGAGGCCCACAGAGGAGATGTGACTTATTCTGATTAGGGCCATGCCTGCAACTTAAGCCCCTACGTTGGCCAAGCCGGAGCCCTGGATGAGCAAGCACTGAGAGGCTTTCCCTGGAAGTCAGTCCTGAGATGCCTGGGCTTGCCTCTGCACTTCGTCATTCTGACACTGCCTTTCCCAGCATTCCCAGCCTTGCCTGGGAGTCACTGGGAACCCAACCCAAGCCCCATGCACACAGTATGCACCAGATCGCAAGGGAACTTCACTGCTTTCCTGCATTTTACCACCTCTTGAAGGCGGCTTCGTTCAGGGTCAGACAGAGGACAAGAGGTCCAGTCCTGACTCTACTGCCATGTGACCTCCCTGTGCCTTATTTTCCTCATTGCGCAAAATGGGCATCATCATCATCCCTACTTTATGAGGTTCTCGTAAGATTATGTAAAAGAATATACATACAGCACCTTATGTAAAAGAATATACATACAGCACCTTGTACACTATCTGCCACGCACACTATTATCATCTCAGAAAGGTCCTCCCCTCCCTTTCCTGGGAAGATTCCCCACCCCCACCCCCATCTGCTATGCCTTGAGCAAAGGAAAATGAAATTGTGCTCAGCTTCCTGAAGGCAGATGATTTTGATTTTCTTTCTTCAAAGTTCTTATCTCTCCTTCAGTCCCAGCTCCAGAGAAGGGCTCCCCATGAGCAATAGCCCAAGGCCTCTTCCTCGAAGCACTAACCACCCAGACCTCCTGTGCCTGCCTGTTCGACAGCAGAGAGCCAAGCTCCAGCTACAGGCAGCCCTTACCCTTGAGCTCCGGCCAAACTACACAAGAGGGCTGGGCAGGGAAGCTCCTTGCCCAGCAGCCTGGACTTCAGGGTGGTGAGAAGGAGGCGGGCCTGGTGTGGGGCTGGGAGGGGGCAGCTCAGGCTGCCTGTAGAGTCCCTTTCTGTCCTCCGTCTGCCTCTCGATGATTTGGTGGGATCACCCACTCTGCTCAAGGTAGCTCAGGCCAACTTCGCCCTTATCTAAGTGGGTCATCCTCCAACTCCTTACCCCGCCTTTCAGACTACAACCGCCCTGTGAAAAGCCAGCGAGGAGTCTAGGGTCTTGACTCTATCTCCAGGGGGTAACAATGACCAGAGATGCCCAGCTTGCATCCTTGCCTTGATATGAACATCTTGGGATTAGCTTTTTTTCTAAGGTCTTTCTCCCATCCTTTCCAGAATCTAGATCATCTCTAATCTGACTTCCTGGATGAGAGGAGATGTTTACCAATTGAGTACCAGCGCCCACCTCTTGTGGAGTGTTAGTGAAGAAGTGGGTGTACCTGTGTATTTGTAGCTGGGAGAGGGCAGGGGTGGTGCTGCCCAGCCTGACCCTAGGCAAGACGTGGGGCATTCCCTTCCAGCGTGGGAGGAGAAGGGCCGGAGGCAGGCAGAGCCTCTCCAAAGAACTTTTGTCTTCTGGAGTGGCAGCTTCTGCAGGCAGCACGCCTCCTTCTTGAATTCTAACTTTGTCTCCTGTGCCTTGAGCAATCTTGCAAGAGTCTGTGCACCCTTCTGGACTTTGAGTGTTTGCCATTTGCAAAATGAGAGAGAGAATTCACTCTGCTGTGTTCCGATAGTCCTTTTGTTGTTGTTGTTGTTGTTCCAATAGTCTTTTAGCAAGTTGTGCTGCTTACCCAAAGGTCACACCTCTGTGGTGGCTCAAATCCATCAGGAGAAAGGTGAGCATTCTCTCGGGCCATTTACAGCCGCAGAAACTCAACAGAGAGTCAGCTATGGGTTGATGACAGTGAGAGTGTATGAGGAATGTCTTTGTGAGATGCAGAGCT